CCTTGTACCGGCAGAACCCCGCCCCGGGAGGGGCCGCGCCCGACCCGCTCCCCGCCCCCCGGCCAGCAGCCTCCTCCTCCTCCTCTTCCTCCTCCTCCTCCTTCTCCTCCTCCTGCCCCGGCTCTTCGTCCAGCCCCCGGCCGCTTCCCTCCGTCCTCCCACCCGCTCCGGCCCCATCCTTCCTCCATCCTTCATCCCTCCATTCTCCCATCCCTCACGCCCCCCCATCCCTCCATCCCAGCCCTTCCCTTTCTGCATCCCGTCCCTCCATCCTCCCCCCCACCAGGTGCCCCCATCGGTGGCAGAGGCCGAGCGAACGCTGCGTTGCCCTACGAAGGGTCAGGGCTGCGAAAGGCACCGTCACCCTCCCTGTCCCGTGGGTTCCCAGTGGCACCAGCCAGTGAGGCCTGGGGACTGGAGACTCTCAGTGCCAGCCCCAGCATGGCCCCACTCTTAACCCCCCTCCATGTGGGCCCAAAGTGAAGCAGGACCCCCCACCCCCAGCACTGGCGCCCATGGTCCCTGACTGCTGCACAACAGCTTTGGTGGGTGACAGTGGCTTCGGGGCTCCAGCACCTCTCCCTGGGCCACCTGCGGTGTCCCTTGTGCCAGACGGCCATGTGGACATCAAGCCCAGCACCTCTTGGCTGTGCTGGGTGCCATTTGCCTGCCAGCGGGCACACGTACGCCTGTGCCGGTTCCGTGTCACCACAGCGACAGACACCAACTCCGCTCAGCTCAGGCCACCAGGGTTCAAAGATCACCCTGAGATGTGCCATGAGATGGGGCTGCACAGCAGGGCTGAGCCAGCGCGGCACCCAGTGCCATCACCTGATTGCCACTTGGAGTTGGACTTGGAGCTGCCCTTACTTGGGGACAGGGATGGGCAGGCAGGACAGGCAGCTGGCACTGAGCAGGGACCTGGGATACAGCAGAGCCCAAGCGGGTGCTGGGGACGAGCGGGGCGGGTGGCCCTTGGCATGGAGCGGTGGCACAGCAGCTCCGGGCACTCCCTGGTTTCCGGAGCGCTGAGCTGGTGTCACTGTTGACTCAAGGTGTCTGGCCCCTCACACGTGTGCAGCAAGTTCCCCCGGTGCTGCCACACATCACAGCCCTGCGCCCGGCCACGCTGGGCTCAGAGATGCCACCTGCCAGGGACGGGGACCTGTGCGAGGCTTCAGGCTGTCCAAATTTGTTCAGTGACACAAAATACCTTGAAGCAAGACGGGAACAAGGTGTGTGGGTGATGCCACTTGCCCGGCCAGTTTGGCAGAGATCTGCCTCGGGCTCCTTGCCCTGCTGTGCCATGCTGGCTTGGGTGCATCTGGCACCGGGCAGCCCCAGGACAGAAATCCTGGTATGAGCTGGAAGCCTCCCAGGTCCCCCAGGAGAAAGGAGCCTCGTATCGGGGATGGGTTTGTGCCTACGTCTGCTGGCACACGTGTAATGAATTGGATGGGCTCTGCTCTCCCTGAGCATCAGAACTCAGGCGATGGGGACGAGCGTCATCACCCTGCACTGCAGTGAGCAGCACAAACGGTTTAAGGGGTCTCGGTTTCAGGGTCTGTGCTGCCTCCTGTGCTGGATGGTTGAGAGAAGTGTGTGGCCATGCTGTGAGGCTGCAGCCAGCTCGCTGCTGGCTCTGGGTGCTGGCATGGAGCGGAGGGCCCTGGACACCTTCTTGCTGGGGATGACCATGTCCCCGGGCAGCATCAATGCAGCCACTGGGGACATCCATGTGGATTCGTGTCCGTGCCTGAGCCTGGTCCTGCACCACCACAAAAGCAGAAGTTTGGGTACCCCAAAGTTCTCTGCTCCCCCAACACACGTAACCAGGGATCTGCCGGGGAGGCGTGTTTGAGTCAACACCCTCCAGGCTCCGTGCAGGACCCCTGCTCCGTGCCTCAGTTTCCCTTTCCACAGAGAAGGCCTCCTGTGCAGGAGCAGAGGGGAATCCCATGGTGACACTTGCCCACCCTGGAGGGACCGGGCTCCCCGGAGGCAGGGTAATCTTGTCCTCAGCCCCCCACTGTGTTTGGCCCCAGCTCTATTGCTCTACTCCCTTTGTCCCAGGGGCTCCTCAGCTCCTGATGCTTTTGGCATTCCTATCCTTGAGCAAAGCGCTGAGAAACTGCCTCCTGGGCAAACGCGGCTTTAGGGGAACAATGAGCCACCCTTTGTGTTGGAGATTGTGCAGAAAGACCACAGATAGGTGTAGCCCTGCCTTACATACGAAGTAGAAGAAGTAGAAAGAAAGACCAGGATTTCCCTGGATTAGGAGGATTTTCTCCCCCAAATCTGGTATTGCACAATTTCCGGTGGGGGATTTTAGACCTTCCTGCCAAGCAGATGTTCTGGGGGATCCTCACAGCAATAAATGAGCTGCCAAGGGCTGATCCTAGTGGGGATGTCAGTGCAGCAACTCCTGCCAGGCTTGGGGTCCCCAGGGACCCACATGTGGTTGGGGCTGGGCCACTCACCGGGTCAGCCTTGGCACCAGGACTAACTCAGCGTGATGGTCTTGCAGGCAAGACCAGAGCTCAAATACCCTCTGATGGTGATGCTACCCCATCCCAGCCTCCACATCCCGGAGCTTGGGACACCGTCGGGCTCCAGGGGTGACTCTTCAGGGGCTGGGACCCAAATGCTGGTCCTGCGGACCTGGTTCAGCCCCAGGGACATGGTTCAGCCCTGGAGACAGGGATAGGGATGGGGGTTGCTCCAGTGGATGATGGCTCTGCCATCCTGCCTACCACCCACGCGTCCCCACTGTCGCATATCCGGCACAGCCCGGAGCAGGAGCTGAGCAAGCGTGAGCACACCCGAAACCAGACAGCCCTGCCAGGCTGGGCCAGCCAGGACCGGGAGGACGGGTTTGGGGGCAAACGGCAGCACGTTGGTCCTAAAGCTGTTGGGGGGCCACGGGCTGCGGGCCAGCCTTGGTGTGACTCCCCAGCTTGGGGATAGTGCTGCCCTCACGCCGCAGAACTTCTCCAGGGCTCAGGGCATCTCCTGGCATCAGGCAGGGTGTGCTGGGGGCAAAATGGGTCTGGGGGGGGAGATGATAGTGCATTTTCCTCCCCCTTCTCTGGACTTCACTGCCTGCTAAATTCAGAGTGGGTGGCTGCACCCCTGGGAAACCGGGGCTGGTGAGACCCCGGGGCTGTGAGCACCATCCCCTACCCCGTACGTCTGGGCAGTATTTCGTGGTGCTCCCGTACCCTGCAGGGACTTGAGCAGGCATTTTGCAAGGGCCTGGCCAGCCCCTGCGACCGCTGCCCGACAGCTTCACAGGGACAAAGGGGACACGCTGCACGGTAGCATGTGGCAGCCACCCTGTGCTGCCCACACCTCTTCCGTGTGGGACCCTGGGGAGCACGTCACAAGGCTGAGGGGAACAAGACGGAACCGGGATGTGTTGGCATGGGGGGTCACAGCCTCTGCTGTCCCTGGGGATCCAGGAGCCCTGTGGGGACAGCAGGGTGGCTCAAAGGCTGCTGCCGCAGTGGGATGAGGACAGCCAGAGGCAGAGCCCAGCTCAGGCTGCCCCCAGGACAACTGTCAGGGTCAGGGTGGCTGTCAACCGTGGGGAAACACTTTGGGGCTGGAGCTTCAAAGTCCAGCCCTGCTGTCAGTGGGGATCCAAAGGGCATGGAGGTCCCAGGAACTGCTTTGTGTCATGTGCCGGAGCTGTGCCAGCCGCTGGCTGGGCCACTGCAGCTCCCGCGGAGCTGTGCCAGCGCCGGGGGCACGTGCTCGGTGCTGGCTGTCAAGATGTGCCAGCACCCTGCGACTGGGGGGGGCACGGCAAGGTGCTGGCCCAGCCCGTGGGCGGCCCCCCCAGCCCTGTCACCTGCAGAGACGCAGTCCTTGGGGCAGTCACCCACCCACCCCTGTTTTCGCAGCCGGCGCGGGCGCTGGCAAGAGGCTCCCGGATCCTGTTTGCCAAGTGCCTGGAGAGACTGGGATGAAAGCGCTGCGCGGGCCCTCCAGCCCTCTCCAGCGGTGCTTTTGCACCTTCAAAGCATCTGGAGCCCCTTGAAGCTGGGTCAAGCTCCTGCCTCACCCTGGGAAAAGCTGGAGAGTTCCCCGAAGCCAGCAGGGAGGGGGAAGGAGACGTGGCCGAGAGCTATAAGTTGTAAGAGCCTTTGCTCCTGTGCCCGGGGATGTGTTGGTGTTGGAGCAGGTGGTCTGGGGCAGTGCCAGCTCTGTCCCCAATCCTGACCCTCCATCCCTGCTGTGCCCAATGGCACTGGGGCAGGATGAACATCCGCAGCCCCCAGAGCAGCTCAGCCCCTGCCTTTAATGTTGACGGGGCAATTTGTTTCCTAAAAAGAGGACTTCACCCATGCTTCCCGGGGAAGGCGAAGGGATGGGAGCAGGAGGAACCTGGCTGGGGACTAGCCTAGGGCTCCCAACCTGCCTGGGGACTGGGGCCAACGCTGAGACCCGAGCACGAAGGGACCATCAACCTGGGCTCCTTGGGACTGTGTGGGTCCTGGAGTTCCTGCCCCAGCCCCACAGGCATGTGGCGGGGGATCGGGATGCTCTGGACAGACCAGGAGGGCATGTAGGGTGCTGCAGCCATCGTGGGGACCCCAAGGCACCCTTGTGGCCCCAGCCCCAGCCCCAGTCCCACCACCCTGTGCTGACCCAGATGCACGAAGCTGGCAAAGCTTTTTGCAAGCTCAGCTGCACCCCGAGCCAGCAAGGAAAGGGCTGAAGCAGCCCTAGGGCACCCCACATGCTCAGGGACCCTGGAGGACAGCCACCAACCAGCCCAGCGTCCACTACCAACCCTTCTCCTCTGCCTCCCCCGTGCCCTCCGCCGACTTCGCAATGGGGAAACTGAGGCACGGAGCTGTGCGCAGCAGCCAGCGCCGTTCCCCCGTCGGCCGTCCCCTACGGGGCCGGGGCTGCCCGGTGGGGTGTCCGTCCACCCCGTCCCGTCCTGTCCCGTCTCCCCGTTGCCCCACGCACGGTCGTTCCCCCACGGGCCCCCCCCTCGCATCCCGAGTCCCAGCAGGTGGCGCCCTGCGCCCGCCGGTGGCGGCGGCCGGAGCCCGGGACCGGGGTGGGGGGAACCGGGGGGGACCGGGGAGGACCGGGGAAAGGCTGTGCTGGGCAGCGCTGGGATGTGCTGGTTCATGCGGGGCTGGGCTGATCCATGCTGGGCTGTGCTGGTCCATTCTGGGCTGCACTGGGCTGTGCTTTGCTGAGCTGTACTGGGCTGTGCTGGTCCATGCAGGATCATGCTGAACTGTGCTGGGCTGCACTGGGCTGTGCTGGTCCATGAAGGACCATAGAGGGCTATGCAGGGCTCTGCTGGGCTAGGCTGCACTGGGCTGTACTGGGCTATGCTGGTCACTGGACTGGGGCAGACTGCTCCCTGCAGGGCTGGTGCTGCAGCCCGGGGACCCAGCCCCCAGCCCCCCCAGATCCCAGCACTGCCAGCTGGGATAAATCTTGTCATCCCAACTGCACTGGGTGGCAAAAGGAGGGTGCTGGGGCTGAAGTGGGTTAGTGCACGCTGCTGGGGGGAATCTGCTCGTCCTGGGTGGACTTTGTAACGGCACATCTGTGTGCGTAACGATGCCACAGTCATTAGCGTTCGAGGTGAAAACCTCGCTGTGTTTTCACAACATTTATTGCCCTTCCTAGAAGGACCTTGGTAGTGGAGAGCTGCAGCATCCCACTGCGCTCGCCCGGGTCCCGGAGGACACAGCATGTCTCTCTGGACCCCCAGGCTGGATGTCCCGGGTGCTGCACGGGCAAAGCCGAGTTTGGGCAGCAACGATGGGCCAAAGTGGTGGTGGTGGGAGCTGTATGTGCGAAAACAGCTCTGTTGTGCCCCAGTCTACCTCGGGATTCTCTCTGGCCTGTCAGTCCCAGCTTTACTGGCAGCTCCCGGCCCCACTGGGTGGTGGTTTTGGGGGGGGCGAAGCTCCCAGCTGGACCTGCGAGGGCTGCGGTGGCACCTCCGTGGGAACACCCCGGGCCAGGACACAAACGTTAAGTGACCCCACTGCTGCCCGGGGCTGGAGCCGCTCTCCTGCCCGTGTCCGCAGGGAACAGCCACGCAGCGGCGATGGGTGGCTGTGGCAGAGGGTGGTGGCAGTGTCCCGGTGCGGGTTTGGGAGCCCAAAGGGAAGTGGGGGATGCCCAGGCAGGAGGAGATGGATGCGAAAGGGCACCCAGGGGTGGTCTCTGGCAGTGGGTGATGTCTGGCTGTGACATGTCCCCCACTTCTCCAGTTTGCTTTGCCATCGTGCTCAGCCCAACGTCCCCAGGCTGGTGGCACTGCTGTGCTGGGGTGTCCTCAGCCAAAATCTTCCTTGCAGGAGTCCCTCCTTAGCGCTTGCAGAGGTGGTGGTGGTGGGGTGTCCCTCAAAACCCGTCCTTTTTGACGGGCTGGCATCGGGAGCTGGCGGGGCGCTCTGGGGGGGGGCAGCGAGGGTCCCCCAGCCCAGCGCACAGGGTGGCCACTGGCTAATAGCCCCGTTAGCATCCCCGTTAGCAGGACCGGGGAACCGGGGGGGGGGGGGGCGCGGCATCCTTCACACCGTGCCCCCCCCGGGAGGCGGGGGATAAGGCTGAGCCCCTCCCTCTATGCAAATCTCAGCCCGTGGATTGGCGGGCGGGCGGGGCCGGCCCCCGCAGACAGTCTATAAGTGCGGGGGGGGGGAAACAATGCACCCGCGGTCCCGGCTCGGTGGCTGGTGCCGCCGCGATCCGCAGCGCCGGGGGAGGTGGGTGCACCGGGGGCTTCCCCCCCTTCATCCATGGGGCTGGGGGTGCCCTTTTCCTGAGGGGGGCTGCGGATCGGGCGGGGGGGTGTCCCCCGTTTTCTTTCTGCTCCCCCATCCCCCGCCTTTGCCGCCCTCCCAGGCAGAGATGGAGTTTGACTCGTACCAACACTACTTCTACGACCACGATGCCCAGGAGGATTTCCATCGTTCCACGGCCCCCAGCGAGGATATCTGGAAGAAGTTCGAGCTGGTTCCCACTCCCCCCGTCTCCCCCCTGGGTACCCCCGGGGAGAAAGCCTGCTGCTCCGGGGCGGAGGGCTCCGGCTGGCTCTCCCGCTACTGCCTGGCCGGGGAAGAGCCGGAGTATCTCATAGGGACGGGAGAGATCTTCGGGAACCTGAGCGCTTTCATCCTCAAGGATTGTATGTGGAGTGGGTTTTCAGCCCGGGAGAGACTGGAGAAGGCGATGACAGAGAAACTTTCCACGGGCACGCAAAGGGCCACCCCCCACAAACCTTCCTTCGCGCAGGATTTTGGGTTCAGCAGCTCGGTGAGCGAGTGCGTGGATCCCGCTGCCGTCTTCCTTTGCCCGTTGGCCGAGAGCAAGATCCCCGCATCTTCGGGATCCGAGGGCCAAAGCGATTCTGGTAAGGGATCCAAGCTCTCCGCCGTCCAGATGCGGACTGTCCCCGTCTGCCCCCACCCTCCCCAGGCACCCTCCAACCTTGCTGAAACCCACGGGGAGCCCGGCGTGGAGGACACGCGTGTCCACACATGTGCGTGCCGGGAGGCTCCCAGCCAGAGCCTTTGTTGTGGCTCCAAGCGAGTCCCGGTCCCGGCCCCCGTGAACAAAGCGGGCTCGGCTGCTCCCCTTCCTGCGGGATTTCTGCTCGGGAAATCCCTACCCCTCACAGGAGGGTGCGTGGGGCTCCCCCCGACCGCTGCGTGGGTCTCTGGTGGTCCCTCTCCCTCGTCCCGACCCCACGGGAACTTCGCGGGTAGGATGGTGAGGGGCAAGTTTGCAGTTCAGCGTGGAAAGTTTGGTTTGGTTTTTTTTTTTTTGAGCTTTGTAGCGTGCTCTACTGCCGGCTCGTAACCTCGGCTGTTTCCCCAGCCCACCCGGGACGGGCTTTCCTCGGGACAAAAGGCAAAATATCCCCAGGGGCCGGCAGGTCGCGGAGCAGCGGCCACGTCCCCCGAGGCGGTGGGACGGGCAGGAACATCCCGCATCAGCGGTGACTCGTCCCGGGACACCCCCGGGGTACCCCTGCTTGTCCCGCGTGGGGAGGGGGCTGGGAAGCGGATGCCTCTGAAGCCCCCTCCCGCATCTCAGGCCATAACCGCCTCTTTTCAGTCTCTATTTACAAACACCCCGGGTCGTCCCCCCCCCCCCGGGGGGGGGGGGGGGGGGGGGGGGGGGGGCCGTAGGCTGTTTCCCTCTCTCCCACGGAAGGCGGGCTGACTCGGCTGCCGTGGAAGCGCTGATAACGGCCCCGCGGTGCCTTGACCCCGTTAATAAATCTGCCGGTGGCAACGACCTGCGCCGGTGAGTCAGGGAGCGGGATGGGGACTTAATGCCATTAACAGCCCGGGGACGGTAAGCAGGTTGCGGGCGTTAAGAGGCTTAACCCAAATTGGGGGGGGCCGGTTGAAGGGTTGGGGGGGGTCGGAGGGGGTCCCGGTCCTGGTGGGGTCCCGGACTCGGTCCCGGTCCGGATCCGGCCGCGCCACGTGGGCGCCGAACAAAAAGCAACAGATTGCAAACAATGAGAGGGGCAGCGTTGATGGACAGGGCTAGGGACCAATGGGATGGTAAGGTAGCCGGCCGGCCCCGCCAGACAGCCAATGGGTGACTCGGGTGGGCGGGACTCCGCGGTCCGACTTTTATTAATGAGCGCGGGTGGGGGGTGCGCGTGTGTATATACACGTGGCTGAGACCGGTGGGTTGTGACACTGGTGACCGCGGCCGTTGGCATGTGAGAGGGCAGCGAGTGCCTCCCCCCACCCCCCACCAGTAGCTCCAGTAGCAGGGCGGTTTAAGCTTGCTGGGCAGAGCCCCCAGAGCCTGGGGGGGGATGTTGGGGGCCACAAGCAGGAGGGTGCCCTGAAGCCCCGCTCCTGCGGCCACCGCTGGCCCTGTCGCAGTAGGGGTGGGGGGGCCAGGCCTCTGCCCGAGATGCTGGTGGGGGTCTGAGTGTCTCGGGGGACATTTAAGTGAGTGGCTGTATTTTCTCCCAAAGCCGAAGAAAAAAGGTGGAAGCCCGTTCCCAAAGTGAGAGCGATCGCGGGGGTGTCTGGAACCAGGTCACCCCGCTGTCCCCAGGGGCCAGCTTCATGCCACTGGGATTCACTGGGTGGGGACAAGCTGTGCTGACAACAGACGGGGTGCTTTGGGTCCAGTTATGCTTTATTTGCGTTTCGCTGCTCACAGCTCTGATAACCTCCCCCCACTGACTCTTGGGCTTGCGATGCCTTCGAGGTTCACCGAGTCCTTTGGAGGGACCCCTTCACCTCTCCCTCCCCCCCTGCACCGTGGGGGATTGTCCCCTCTTTCCCCGGGGAGCCTGGGCTGAATGGGGTTTATCGCTTGTGAAAAGTAACAAGTCACCGAAGTGGGAAGCTGCAGCCAAGGGGAACAAAGGGCAGTTCTGCCCCCACGTCCCTCATTTACAATTCCAATGGGCCATGAAAGCGCCCGACCAGGATGAACTTTGGAGTTAGGCTGTCCCAGGTCCCCAGCATCCTGCTCCTCATGTTCCCCCGGGCAGGTGGGTCCGGGTGTTTCTTAACCGATGATCCTTTATCCTGGACACATGTTGCTCCTGGTGCAGAAGTGAGGTGAAAGTAAAGCTCTATCCCAATTTCAGGGGATGAGGTATGTGAATGTGGAGGGAAAGCTCCTTCCTTTGCGATGGTATCGGAAAAGCACTTAAATCACATAATCCCTTCTGGAGGTTGCAGAGTGACTTTGCAGTGCATGAGCAAACTTCTGTGGGACAGCAGCGGGGAGATTGTCCAGGGGCTGTGGGGAGACCCAGCGGGGTGAAGAGGGGTGACCAGGGGCTCCCAATTGATGGGGATTTTTTGTCTATTTTGAGCAGAAGGTGAAGAGATCGATGTGGTGACGGTGGAGAAGAGACAATCGCTCAGTCTGAGGAAGCCGGTCACCATCACGCTGCGTGCCGACCCCTTGGACCCCTGCATGAAACGCTTCCACATCTCCGTCCACCAGCAGCAGCACAACTACGCTGCTCGCTCGCCGCCGGACGCCTGTCCCCCACCGGAGCCACCCCAGCAGGCTGAGGACGAGCCACCAAGTGCCACGGAGCCAGCCCCTGCCATCACGCTGCCTGAGCCCAGCTTGCTGAAAGCCAGCAGCAGCCCCGGCTCCGACAGCGAGGACGTGGCCAAGAGGAAAAATCACAACTATCTGGAGCGCAAGCGGCGCAACGACCTGCGCTCGCGCTTCCTGGCCCTGCGGGACCAGGTGCCTGGGCTCGCCAGTTGCCCCAAGACGCCCAAAGTGGTGATCCTGAGCAAATCCTCCGAGTACCTGCAGTCGCTCATCAGTGCCGAGAGGAGGATGGCGGCTGAGAAGCGGCAGCTGCGGCTGCGGCAGACCCAGCTGCTGAAACGGATTGCTCACCTCAAGGGGCACTAGTGCCCAATGTGCCCCCCACCCCGGTCCCCACGACCCCCCTGGCTCCCTCTCAATTTGCACATTTTTTAGTTGTTTTTTTTTTTCTTTTTGTTGTTGTTGTTTCTTGAACTGTTGGCCCCAGGGGGCTGGAGCATGTGGCGGTTGCTGCATGTGGGGTGGCTGCAGGAATGGGGCCACAGCAGGGCCCCCCCCCCCCCAGGGCCCCCC